GGGTTACCATACCAGTTGGTTGGGGCGGGACAAGGAACTAATTTTGAGTTGGAACTTACATCAGCCTAAGACAACTTTCTGTATTTATGCATTACCTTTGACATGGCAGAGTAAAATGACTGATAATTAACAAGTAGTTAGATGATTGACCATTAACTATGTCCGTATAAGCTGGATGTTAGTAAAAGAACAAAAGAATCTACTGATTTCGACTGGGGGACATTGTACGAACCTGTAGGTAGATAGAGGCAGGAAGAAATATGACATAGAGAAACAGATAGCTAAACAAAGACCGTCTCCGTACGTGTGTGTGTGTGTGTGTGTGTGTGTGAGAGAGAGAGAGAGAGAGAGAGAGAGAGAGAGAGAGAGAACTCTGTGAGAAATAGAAGATCAACTATCACTTCTAGCAAATAAAATCAAAAAAATCACATACCCAGATAACTGAGAAAGCTAGTCTTTCAACATCAGCACGAAGTGAACAAATATCTGCCAAGCAAAAAAAAAAGAGTAAGATTAATGAGAAAAAGCCATGCATAACCAAAAAGTAGATACTTTGGTACACCAATCGGCATGAAATACATCTCCGAGCCATGTGACAAGCAAAAACCATTCAGGCTGGTGCAATAAAAGTAAATTTACCTTCTGTAAGAGGTTTTGGAAGCATGTCTATTCGACGCTCTACAAGATATACAGAAGTGCCCCTTTGTGAAGCCTCATCATCGAGTGGAGTTCCAGGATGAACAAAATTAGTAACATCAGCAATATCTGATATATGTATTAAAGACTACAACCAAACCTTTTCCATGGTTTCCATGATGTAGACATTATATTTCAAAATAAACTGTGGAGAACTGAAGGTAATGAAAGAAAAGAAAGAGAAAAGTTTTAGTGGGTGAAAAAGTGCACAACCAGTGTACCTGGGGCACAGGAAGATTTGGGGAGTCAGAAGCATCAAAGAAAATAAGAGATGGCATACAGTTATATACTCATCATTAACTGATTGTAAAATAATATTTCAGCCACCTAACAAGTCTAATAAACCAAAGAGTAATTCGAACAGCTTCACATACCCAAAACCCTCCTCACACCCCTCCCTCGGTCCCTCCTTGAGGAGCTCACTGTCTCTTGAAGAAAAAATTAACAATAGAAATCAGTATTAAGTTTTGCAAATTCTAGCCAAAAGATCTCGAAATTAAACATGGATACGAACTCCCACTTCAAAATTTCCATTTGGAAGAGGCATACAATGCAATGCATCATCAATATCCCTGCATCCTGTGTCACGGAAAAGCAGAATTCTGTCTAAGATTGACATCACATGTAGGAAGTATCTCATCTATGCTGACATAAACTAAATGTGGGCGCTACAGTTAAATGGAAGACGTAAACCACAGTTTAATTTGGGAACATACCAGGAGGGTCCACACTACATACACGCAGATGACGCAAATCCTGTCTAATAGGATTTGTCAAATCTTGAGAAGACACAGACCAAGGTAACGGTGGCAAGCATGCCAACACTTGAGCAGAAAATGGTCTGGCATCTATATCATTCTCTATCAATACCACCTAAAGTGATTACAGAACAAATTTAGTCGTGACTACTATTTATCAGCATAAACAAATAAATAAAATCCTAATAATTTAAGCATGTAAAATAAAATAAAATAAAGGCAGCTACAACCAAAGGAGAACAACGCCCTTAGCATTTACTTGAAGGTTTTCAACAAAAAGCCACAACAAAGAAACTACAAACAGTCTAGAAAGTATATGACAGAAAAGGTAGAGAAGGATAATCTGTTTAAATATAGAAGAAAACGAATGACATTTTACCACATACCTCTGTTTCAGTATCCCTATCACCTATTTCTCCAATTGTCCTGACATAGTGACCGGTTGGATATCGGGACAAACGATCCCATGAATCAACTGCAACGATAATCCGCTTATCCAGCAAATTTCCCAATTGACGAGTTTGTATCCGTATCTTAGGGATTCTGCGGTCTTTGGATACAAACAAGGCATGGGCAAGACCACCATTACCTCCTGGCATAGGCATTGGCTCCAAGGATCCACAGTAACTGCAAGGATGAAATGAATTATATACCAGATAAATGAAAACTTTGTTAATAGTGGAATTAGATAAAGCAATTTCAAGAAGTACGAGTTCAGTGACAGTGGATAGAGTCCACAGACCATAGAATTGCAGGATTAGTTTAAGGGGCAGAATTTTCCAATCCCGTGCTACTTTGCAAACGGTTACGAAAATCCTTGGGCATCACTCAATCTCAAAGATACCACAAGAGGTAAGAAACAGTCACTATAGAGATGAGTGACGCCTGAAAAGGCACCAGAGAAAGAAGCGGCATCTGAACTGTCCTGAGAGAAGGAGCAATGCCTTGAACGGTCGTGGGTAGAGCAGCAGCACTAGACAATGTAAGCCGCCTGCCGGTAGCATAAGCTATGTAGGCTGCTACCAAAATCGAAGAGGCTCTGATGCCATGTACGGCACATGGATCTTGGACCTAACTCAACCTCAAAAGCTAGCTCAAGAGCTAAATCCAAGACCATAGAAGGAGACAAAATTATCACACATTTGAAATGCCTAGGGCTGAACATCTGGATCGTGGAATTTATAATGATCCAAAGTTACTCTACCTCTCACCTTAAAATTTTAGGCCAGATGTGAATTCTTTAACATAGAACCATAGCAAGCAAAGTACGAGTCTCACTACTACAAATCAAAGAATTTACATGCTTTAGACCAAGAAAAGGAATTTGACCTACACATGGCATGGTAAAGATAATTAAATAAACCTTTCTAACATCAAAGTGTAAAAATGTAGTTCAAATGTGTAAGAGAGTGGGTCCCGTTAATTTTTGAGTTCTTGACTGATCGAACAGTATGAAAAAGTATTTCACTGGCCAGAAATGGTCATTGTGCAAGCCCCAAAATATAAACCACAACACTCAAAAGTGATGAAGAAAATAAAAGTTAAAAGTAATTGGTGTATTTAACATTATCAAAAGATTAGGCCAAAACATTTTTACAGAATATATTTCGTAATTAGAAAAGGAAGAGCATGGAACATATTTTCAAACATTTTCTCCATTTCAGGGAAAGAAAAGAACTCAAAAGCCTAACAATTTGAAAAATATGAGGAATAAACCATTAAACAATATAACCAAGGACAAATATCATGTTCGATCCCAGATATGGACGTGACCATTTTGCCAGGTGGTGACCAATTTGGAGGAACCAAGTGGATATCCTTTTTCTAATTATGAAAAGGATACAATCTCTTTTTATAAGAGAAAAGATACTGTATTCTAAAGGTGATAGGATATCTCATCTTAAAATTTTCGATAACTTATTTGCTGATTCAGGCAAGAACCAGCATGGGGCAATTGTTTTTGAAAGTATCTCCTGAAATGGAAAAAACTTCTGTGCCAGCTTCTTGAAATGTCTTTTTGGATTTTCTGACCAAGTGATTGTATAATGCATAGGCATTTCAAAATATCCTTTCAGGTGCTTTAAAAAAACAAAAATTGGGAAAAGAAATCCTTAGGAAGTACGCTAAAACCCCATTGAATTATCAGAAGAACTTCAAGGACCAAAAAGTATTTATCTAAGAGTTCTCCCCATGACTGTCTAAAGCTAGCATATAATTCAACAATAACTTACGAGTGCCAGTTCCGCTTTATGATACCAACAACACGACCAGTTGGGCGAGAAGGTTTCATTTCCTCGGATGCAGTTTGCCCTTGATTCACAACTCTAGGAGCATCATCAGCGCTATTTGGAGCTAAATGAACATCTTCTTCTTCGTCTTCAGGATACAAAATAGTTATGAGATTACATGAACAGAAAAGTTTTGCACCATAATGAAAGCAAGCAAGGACAATCGTGATGTACAGACATGCAGGAGAAGAGGGACAAGTTCACAATCACTATTTCGTTTTGCATGGAATTTATAGGACATTAATTTGAATTGAATAATTCATTCATAGTAGAAATAAAATATTATAGTAGTCCCTGGAGGAGTAAGTTTAAAGATAAGCTATTACAGTAAAAATAATATGGAATGACACAAGTTATTGAAATTTGTAAAATCTGTGCAAGTAATAATAGTTAGAAGTGGATCAAACATTCTGAAATAGAAATGTAATCCCATAAATAGTAGGCAAGGAGTACTGAATTATTCCTTCATATCATAGAAAGTGAAACACTTTGTATCATCAATTTTGGTTCAACAAAAACCAAAAAACTTTGAAATCCGTCATGGCTGCAAGCATTAAGTAAGTAGGCTTATGAGACAGAAAAAACACCAAAAATGGAACTTTTTCCAAAATCTCAGACCCACCTGAGCTGCCATGCCAAGCTACAGTTTTTTCAGACAAAAACTAAAAAAATCACCATAATGGGGTAGGCTCATATTAGCCTTTTCTCCGACAAAAGCCAAAAAGCTTTAGAATCCGTCATGGCTGCAAGCATCGGTTAGCCTTATGAGACAGGGAAGAAACACCAAAAATGGAATTTTTCCCAAAATCTCATAGACACGTGAGCTGCCACGCCCAGCTACAGTTTTTTCAGACAAAATACCAAAATATCAACATAATGGGGCAGGCACATATTACCTTTTTCTCAGACAAAAACCAAAAAGCTTGTCATGGCTGCAAGCATCAGTTAGCCTTATGAGACAGAAGAAACACCAACAATGGAATTTTTTTTCCAAATTCTCATAGACACACCTGCGCTGCCACGCCAAGCTACAGTTTTTTTCAGACAAAAACCAAAAATCACCGTAATGGGGCAGCTCATATTAACCTTGTCTCAGACAAAAACCAAAAAGCTTTGAAATTCATCATGGCTGCAAGCATTAAGTAGGCTTATGAGACAAAGAAGAAACACCAAAAATGGAACTTTTTCCAAAATCTCATAGACCGACCTGCGCTGCCACGCCAAGCTACAGTTTTTTTCCAGACAAAAACCAAAAATCACCGTAATGGGGCAGCTCATATTAACCTTGTCTCAGACAAAAACCAAAAAGCTTTGAAATTCATCATGGCTGCAAGCATTAAGTAGGCTTATGAGACAAAGAAGAAACACCAAAAATGGAACTTTTTCCAAAATCTCATAGACCCGCCTGAGCTACCACGCCAAGCTACAATTTTTTCAGACAAAAAGAAAACAAAATCCCCTTAATGGGGCATGGTCATATTAGCCTTTTCCAAGACAAAAAAACAAAAAGCTTTGAAATCCATCATGGCTGCAAGCATCAGTTAGCCTTATGAGGCAGATAAGAAACACCAAAAAATAGAATTTTCCTAAAATCTCATAGACCCACCAGAGTTGCCATGCCAAGCTACAGTTTTTTCAGACAAAAACCAAAAAAGAGGTAGGCTAGTATTAGCCTTTTCTCAGACAAAAACCAAAAAAACTTTGAAATCCGTCACAGCTGCAGGCATCAGTTAGCCTTATGAGACAGCGAATAAACACCAAAAATGGAATTTTTTTCAAAATCTCATAGACCCTGAGCTGCCACGCCAAGCTACAATATTTTCAGACAAAAAAAAAACAAAATATCAACATAATGGGGCAGGCACATATTACCCTTTTCTCAGACAAAAACCATAAAGCACTGAAATATGTCATGGCTGCAAGCATAAGTTAGTCTTATGAGACAGAAGAAACACCAAAAATGGAATTATTTTCAAAATCTCACAAACCCACCTGAGCTACCACGCCAAGCTACAGTTTTTTCAGATAAAAACCAAAAAATCACCATAATGGGGTAGCTCATGTTAACCTTCTCAGACAAAAACCCAAAAAAATTGAGATCCGTCATATGGCTGCAAGCATTAATTAGGCTTATGAGACAGAGAAGAAACAACCACAAATGAAATTTTTTCCAGAATCTCATAAGCCCACCTGAGCTGCCACGCCAAGCTACAGTTTTTTGCAGACAAAAACCAAAAAATCGCCATAATGGGGTAGCTCATATTAACCTTTTCTTTGACAAAAAACAAAAAGCTTTGAAATCCGTCAAAGCTGCAAGCATTAAGTAGGCTCATGAGACAGAAGAAACACGTAAATGAATTTTTTCCAAAATCTCATAGGCCCAATGAGCTGCCACGCCAAGCTACACTTTTTTCAGCTCAAAAAGAAACATGTTTGGTTCATCTTCTACAGAAGACAAAATCTTCACAGCCTTATTGCATATGAAATGGACCAGAGCGAGTAATAAGAACAAAAAAGGAAGATCATGTGAAATTTCACCAAAAGGGTGATCTGGTGAAAGGAAAAAGAAGGAGGTCAAGATACACCTCTTGCAAGTATTTTTACTCTTGACCGCCAGTGATGGTGATCTTGAACGTGGAGGATTGGGAGGTTGAATGGAGGCTGGGTAAAAAGTTAAGGGGTGGTAAAGGGGTAACTAAAGGGTTGGATTCAAGCCACGTGTTGGAGACAAGGCAATTAATAGTACTAATTAGTTTGATTCAACCGTTCTGCATCAATAAGGGCATGTAGACCAATTCTGTAACGGCATGGACATGATCGACCCAAATTGTTAATGGAGGGCATATCTAGACCATTTCACATACTTCAGGGGCAAATTTGACATTTTCATGATATAATAAGTATGTCATGTCCATTAAAGAAAAACAAAAAACAAGAAAGTGGACGGACCTTCATCAACTAATGCCAAAGACTTCTCCTCATGCCACTGTTCTTGAGGCAAAAGCTCAACCGCCACTATATCACCATCAAAAGCCCTATTCATATTTGCACGCCCATATATAATTATCTCATCACCAATGCTTTCACTACCAACATATGCTTCAAATGGGTTAAAACGGTTAACACGAAGTTTCCCCTGGTGGAAAAGTCCCCGAAGCAAACCCGAAGTAACTTCTGACATGGGTTTATGCTACAGAAAGCATGAATAACAGACAAGTTTAGGAGGTCATAGCCTTAAAAACAGCACCAACAAAATAGTTTAAATAAATTTTATCAAGCAATTAAAAATACCTCATTATAAATGACTTTTCGCTTTGAAGGCCTCAAATCCTCAACATCCTCCATATTAACGTCTTCAGAAGGAGGCTGGACTATTAGGTCAAGCAATTCCACCTGACCAAGCGACTTTACATAACACTCAACTGAGATCAATGGAAGTAAGTCAGTAAAGACTCCTGAAGATAAATTTAACTGACTAAGGAAGTGCAACAGGTAAGTCGAGATAACTCTGTACAAAGTAACGACCAATGAGAACTTTCAGTTCTCACGAACATAACGGAAGCCTCTCAGTGTTCAAATCAATACCTCCACAGTATCATACTACAGAATGATTGACATCAGAAAAGTACAAGCAAGCTCTACCTGTCTCTGCAGAAATGCCCTCATCAATTGCCTTCTTCTTGTTTTCTCTATCATTCGTAATTAGCAAGACACTTACTCCGCTGCCAAGATGATCATGATACCATTTAGCTGCGACCCTAATAGCTGAACCACCAAAAAGTGCCGAAGTTTGTCAATCTACTGGTACTTACAAACAAAAGCATTCAACTTCGTCAAGAAGAGGTAGAAGCCATAATGTGAAACCCATTAGAGACAGACAACCAAGGTTCTCGGTTACACTTTCCCAAATCATGTTAACCTTTCCCATTCTGCTTCTTGTCTATGAAACTTAATATAGTTGACTTATATAGAGTTTTGCACTCAGATAATCAAACTTGAAGAGATCTTGAAGCTTTACTAGAGAAGAAAATGAGAATCTTGTTTCATTTTTTTTAAGAGATCTTCCTACATCAACATATCAAAAATACCGAGACACACAAAACAAAAATTAGGGTGAGATACTCCAGTAGAGGGCAGGATGATAAAGGACCATATTATTTTTAAGACCAATGCATAAGATACAAATTACCAACCTAAATAGGATTCTGATAGACTAAATTATTTCCAGGGGAGGACATGATTACAGTACACAAATCCTTCAACACCACCACCAAACTTAATTTTTTGTTTGGCAGCAAACCAGGCTTGAACTCTTGACCTAGTGGCATGAAGAGGACTCTCTCGACCACTATGAACAAGAATGGCCGGTCACCACCAAACTTTTACAGTGGGTTTGTCTTCTAGACTTAATTAGTATAATAGATCTATTAAAGAAACTAAAAACAATAATAGACTTAATTAAAGAAACTAAATCAATAAATTACAAGAAAAAAGAAGAGACAAATTGAGCCCTACATAACAAGATCTGTAGAGAAGCTATGCATACAAGTTGACATCATCTCCTCAGTTTCATTGTCATACTTTTTCAGTCAAAGTCAGCTTTAAATCACAAAAATCTAAGTTCCAGTGTTTCTGGAAAAACTAAGGGTCCTTTGGTTTTTGGTTGGGGGTATCAGTAAAAATATCACTGTATGATAATTTCTCTATTATTTTACACCGGATAGAAGGTGGAACAAAAATACTTGTATTATTATACTTGGATAAACAACAAAAGGACCAAAAATTACCCTTCATGTTAATTCAGAGGTTCTTATTCTGTCATCGTCCAGATTCCACAGAAAGAAAACCTGAAGAACGAAGTGCTTCACTCCTCAGTGCACCTCAGAACACAAGACATCCTTAGCAGGGGTCCGTAAGAGAATAGGCAAGGTTATACCTTCACTTTTCTAGTGAATGATTTTCCCTGAATCTAGTAACTTTATAGCCCTAGCTATTGCATCATATTAAGAAAATGAGAAGCGACGAAGTCAAGCATTCTATTCCTCACCTTGTATTGCCATTGGCAGGAGCAAGACTTTCTTTTGTAAAGTTTAGATTCTGAATCCAAGACACTACACTGCTGTTCAAAAACTAGGGATATAATTGTAGACAATCTTATTCAATTGAAAACAAACACGCTCTACTTCTTTTTTTTGGATAAAGTAACAAACACATTTTACACTATATATAGCATATCCAACTTTACTATAATGAACAAAATGTCCAATAAGAAATGCATATGCACTAAAACAATTCAGTGATAATTAATCTCTGTACTACAATCCCTATATAGGACTCGATCCAAATTCAGTAACTAGGTTATAGTACAATGGGGTCTTCCAGACTCGATCAACAGTTGGAACTGAAACAGAAACTAATAATTGCAGCTTGACTATTTAAAATACTGTGTACTATAGAACAGAAGCATAGTTCCTTGTACATAGGCTACTGACTAGCCCAGTTCTCATCAAAGATGCAAGTAAAAATGTACAGTTATTTGTTCCTTACTGATCAAACACATAAGTATGGACTTTAATGCACTTCTTTTTAACATGGACCTTTATGCACTTAATAAACATGCAATGTAAGTATGACCTTTAATTTGCTTAACATAAGCATAATTGTAGGATTTAGAGAAATTAGAATGGAAGGGCCCAGACAGCTAGTGGAAGGATAATGCAGAAATGCATGGCACAAAATGTTCAAGAAAAACAATGAAATACAACTTTAATTGCAGCTATACAAAGGGAACAGACAAACCTCTATCGTTCCGATCATTCGGGCTTTCACCAGCCAGGGCCTCCACATAAGTATCCCTGAACAATGTGCAGATGAAGGAATATTTTTCATCAAAATCTCAGCCTTAGCTGTAACCAGTAGCTATAGATGTCTAGTAGTGCTATGGATTATGTAAGTGGATTGGTCAAAAGGAACACCCAGGTGGTTTTTTTTTTCGATAGCTCAAGGTCAGCCATGAAAATCGCCAATTATAGCAGTAGGCGCTATTCTACTTATCCAAAAAAGCCATCTGTAGCAATCAGCAAAGCTGCAAGAGGGAGAGTTAACATCAGGACAAGTGGGCAAATGGAGTTTGCCTACTTGACTTGCATCTGCCTTGTGATCTTATGCAACTCTTTACGCGGAAAAGATGACAAATCTTAGAATTAGTCTGAAATAGTGCTACACTCTTCTAATCGCAACTAAAGGGAGCATTGACCGGATACGCTCTTTTCATTGAAACTAGTCATGGACACCCAGTGTTCAAAAAAGCGCCCGCTTCATCGCTTTAAGCGAGAAGCAAAGCGGAGCGACGGGTTGAGCTCTACCCAGATAAAAGCGACGCAGGTAGAAAAAAGCGACCGCTCCAAGCTAAAAAGTGAGAAGCGGTGAAGCGACAGGGAGCGGAAGAAGCGATCGCTTCTTGAAATAAAAGCCCAAACAAGTCTTTTATCAATTAAAAGACCCAAATCGTGGGTCTTCTGTTTTATACACTTCTTCCGCAGCAAACTAGGGTTCCTCTTCAGCCTTTTCTTCCTAAAAAAACCATCGATTTCTACCTCACTTGAAGCAGCCATTTGTTCAAGCAAACTAGGGTTCTTCTTCTTCAACATTACAACAACAGCTTTCAAGTTTCAACAGGTATGTTTTGCTTTTGCACTTTTTACTTTCATTCTTCTTCTTCTTCTTTTTCTTCTTCTTTTTCTTTCTAAACGTCCAAAAAGCGCCGAAATGCTGGCGAAATTTTTTCAGCCCAAATTCTGCCCAGTTTCTGCCCAAAATCGCCCAGTTTCTGCCCAATTATATATTTTTTTATTCTTAGTTCTTATTCCCTTTCTTATGTGTTATGTAGTTGTTATTTTAATGGCGCCAAAAGAAGATAGGAAAGACCCGGCTTGGGCTTACTCTGAAAGAGTTAACGAGACCAACAAGATGGCCATTAGATGTCTTTTTTGTGATAAGATTACAAATGGAGGAATCTATCGTCAAAAAGCGCATCTAATCGTTGGTGATCCAAATGTCGCATCTTGTCCTAAAGTTCCGGGGCATGTGAAGGAAGAATTGAAAGCATACCTTCAAAAAAAGAAAGAGTTAAAGACTCAAAGTCAAATGATTCATGAACAAAAACTTTATAATCTTGATGACGATGATGATGAAACAGAAGAAGGTGACGATGCTTCGTCGCTTCCACCAAAATCACAAAAGCGGGGAAGGATGCTTCCACCAATGTCTTCTAGTTGTGGATCTACTGGCAAGACCAAAGGTCCTATGGATTGTTACTTCCCGCAAAAATCTGGAGATAAGGGAGGAAAAAGTGGTAATCCTCAAGTTGATGCAAAAGCGATTTTGAGGGACCGTGCAGTTACCTGCTTTGCCCGGTGGATGTATGATGCAGGTCTTCCTTTTAATTGTGTTAATTATACTGACACTTTTGTTGCTTTTATTGAGGCCGTAGGCTAATATGGTCCAGGAATGAAGCCTCCAACTTATTATGAAGTTAGTGGGCCATATCTAAAAAAAGAGGTGGCAGAGGTGAACAAAATCGTGGAGGAGCACAAAGTAGAATGGAACAAGTTTGGTTGTTCCATTATGATGGATAAGTGGACGGCGAGAAATGGAAAAATGATTATCAATATCTTGGTGAATTCTCCTAAGGGAAGCCTGTTTCTTGAGTCCGTCGATGCAAGCGACTCTTCGACTGATTCAACCAAAATGTACTCCTTGTTCAAGAGTACAATAGACTCTATTGGAGCAGAAAATGTTGTTCAAGTTGTCACGGACAACGCCAGTGAAAATGTTAAAGCTGGTGATTTGATGTCTGTTGGGTACCCGCATATCTATTGGACTCCGTGTGCAGCACATTCCATTAATTTGATCTTCGGTGATATTTTCAAGGAAAGACCCTT